TACCACAATTGTCTGATGATGCGGGCTACATATAATGTCGTGCAGCACAGACGCTATGTGCTGTATGGATTCTATGGTTTTATAGCAGAACCAACATCAGTCAGAGCTTTCTTTGTCTCCGATTATATACCTTCAATACGACCTAGTGTCTGTAACTAGAATAACGAGTAAAAAAATATAAATCCCTTCGTTTTCGGGTATATTTTCCCTCGTCCCAGCCATCGGAGTGACTTCGGTCCTTAGTGACGTGTAAAATCGCCCATTTGGTTCGCCAATCCTCCAATCCACTGGGTGGTTAACTGTGGTCCTTCCGTTGCAATAAAATAAAGCGCAGTATATCCTCGAACAATCCGGTGCACTTGTATTGTTATCGACTCAACGTCCTAAAATATTCTCAAACTCCGCTTTCCTTCTATGGCAGGCCTCACGGATATTGATAAGCCCTCTATCACATACATTTCTTGGCAGTTACATTCTAATTTAGTGGATTTCATCCACTCATAAATCATTTCCGTCCTGATAAAACGATCCAGGCTTGCCAACTCAGTTTCCGACCATTTGATCATGTCAAATGAATACCCTAACTACTGCCCCATGCATTTTCACTTTATTCCGTCCGTGATATCAAACCCGACCTTTAAAATCCTGGGTAAAACGATTTTCTTTGCCGGCTTTTTAAATTGAAGCATCTGATTCGGAATCCAAGGTCAGGTATGTCTGGGACATCAAGAGTACTAATTATTGTGGAGTTGTCCAGATGCATGTTTTCATTGTTTTTAATTTTCCCTTTGATGCACCCGAGCATAGTCGATAAGACTCACTGGATATTCAATGCACTTAACTTTGGCCTGAAGTGCTGGCTTGGGTCAACGTGTATCATCGTGATCATGATAAATATCTAGTGGCCTACTGCTGAGACTTAAACGCTCTAAACGTAGAAGGGTGATTCTGGGGTTACGAATAAAGGAAAATAAGATGTATAGGTACAACGTAGGAAATATTAATTTTTTTAAATAGAAATTAAATGCTTTTTATGTTGTCTAGAAATTGAGAACCTGATTTTATTTTACTTTACTTAATTAATTAATTTGTTTGTTTTTATTTATATATTTATTTACATACTTTAGTTTATTTTTTCAAGCAAGGGGATCTCGGTTGGCTTAATTTTTTCAGTTGGGTACTCTGAACTCCGGATCCTCGGGTTCACTGGAAAGATAACCGACCATGGAGAACTTATCGATTACAATGAATGGGCCATCATAAACTGGCATTATTTTTTTTGTAGGGTTATGCACTTTCGTGGATAAATAATGCAACTAAATAAGTATAAAATATCTCTATTTTCAGGTCTGTTTCGTTTTTTATTATTGTATGACCTAGGCATTTTTTCTTTGGCCATCATGTAATTGTAGGTCTAATACCCCAATTATCCACATCTTCCTTTGTTTTCGCATTCCGCAACGTATCGTTCATAGGAATCTTCAAATTAAGAGGGTGATAAGAATCTCTTCCTAAGAATACCTGGGCCGGGGTATTCTTTGTGGATTCATATTCAGCATTATTCCATGTCAGAACAATGAAAGGTAATGAATTTTGCTGTTTTTATTGACGAAGTGGATCGTTCGACGGTGTTGCTCTGTGTATAGTATGGTAGGTGGTAAGGTGATAAGTTATCCCCATCTTGTAAAAAGGATTTGTATTCCACTCCTCTGAACGCTGAGCCATTATCTGATACATTCCATGCTGAGCACAAGAAAGGCACCTTGCGACACGTATCCTGAATCCTTCCGTATTTTCGGATATATAAAAACGTTTCTTATCCTGTTGTAAATCTTCGTTAATCCCAGATGTGAAGGAATGATAACACTGGAAAATAATCTCTTTACACGCTGATGGTATTACAATCTAAAATTGTTGAGTAGGAATCATATTGCTTTTGGTACTATAGGTTCTCTTCCTTGTATATTCTTTATTCGACTCCCTTATTTTGTCATAGAAGCTGTGTCGATTCTTTTCATAGACGATTCTTGGAGATTGTCAATTTCAGAACGCATGAGGGACAAGCGAATTTTTTTGATTTATTATTTCCACCAAGTCCTCTTCGCTGACGTCTCCAAAAATTTTTGCAACCATCACCAAAGCGTCGACAAAGTCCCTTAATTCCCCTCGATATGTCTGTGATTGGAGTAGCTAGTTTACTTTTAGGGAGAATAACTGTATTCTTGAAAGCTTACTATTTTCTCTCCTGATGAGTTTCCCTCAAACGAGACATGATTTTTTAATTTTCGAACGGATATTTTCTTTATCGCATTTTCAAACTGCTTCTAAAAGTTTATGGATTTATAAACTCATTAAGTAAAGTGTTACGAAGTTTTTCATAATTTATCTTTTTATTCTGTACCGCATTGACAATAGTGTAATTTTGGATGCCGCTCCGTTTATTGTAGATTATCCACGATGTGGAACAAAATACCTGAAAATATGTCTCTTAACGATGGGGGTAGAGATCTTTTAAAAATCCCAAAGTACATTCGCCGTCTCGAATTTTGACAATTTGTTCAGCTTTCTAGATTGATCCATCAAGCTTCTCCGGACAATTGTAGGTAATAAGTAGCTACTTTTCGTGACTTCGCCAGCATCTGTGCATTTTTCGAGCCTTTGACTTTCCGCGGAGGCCAATGCATTTAGACTCTGAAAATCCGCTTACTATTTTCTCTCCTGATGAGTTTCCCTCAAACGAGACATGATTTTTTAATTTTCGAACGGACTTTTTTTTATCGCATTTTCAAACTGTTTCTTAAACGTATTGACTAAGCTGTTGACCTGTCTAGATTGAAAATTGGTCTTTTGGCACTCCTTAGCTATGCTTTTCACTAAATTCATAAAGTGGTCGTTGCCCCTCATTTTCTCGCACAACGGGACCAAATCAAGTTCCGACACGTCCTTGATCTTTGGGTCTGAGATGAGTTTTCTTCCTACGTAGACAACAGACCATGTAAGTTCGCGCTTTTAAAAGAAAAATCCAGTTTTGTGTTGAGTCTGTTGAGAAGGAAGAGAATGAGTGTTTTCCTGTGTTAAATGATTTTTTTAAAGAAAAACTTGAGCTGGCAAAAAGTTGATCGATGGATGAAATATGTGAACACCTTCCAAGTTTGGGGATGTCCTTTGAGATCTACTTCCCAATAACTCGAGATGCAATATTCAAAGACGTATGTCTGTGTGGCTAAACAGTTTTCTGTTTCGACAAAGCTAACCAGTCTATCAGCTGGGTTATCGACCTGCTGGAAACATGAAGTTTTTCGGAGGATCTACGGAAGAGGTCAACACAGGGAACTTCCCTCTGTTGACCTACCTCTTCCGTAGATCCTCCGAAAAACTTCATGAAACCAGTCTATCTTCAATTGAATACAAATTTTGATATACATTACTTCAGACTCCACCTTGAAATCTACTTTCGAGTCCGACACTTAAACGCATTTTTGACTCTAACTGGAAAGCAAAAAATTTCAAACGCACATCGACAAAGCAAAACTTGTTTAGGTTCCATTTGCCACAAATTACCTATACGAATTCGGATTTTCTATATCTAGAGCCAACAGAAACAAATGCGGAAGCTATCCAAATGCTGGAACCGGACATCCGTCTTCAGCTATCAAAAATTAAAACCAACATATAAAAATTGTGTAGACTAAAACGTCTTCCAATTAATTTATTCATGCTTGGCTCGAGTTTTACATAACTATTGATTCCGTACTCCAATTTGATTTTTGTGTTCCGGGTTTGGTATAAAAAGTTAAGTAGGTTGATCAAATGTTTGTTTTTATAGCAATATCCCCTTCCATAACGTAATTAGGAATGGACTGGTTAATTTATAAAACTTTAATTTGCTATTAAATCAGTATCTAATTTTAAATACTTGAAAGGGCTCCGCCCTGGATTTTGTTTTGAGAAAGGAGTCCGCACGCTAAAACATTTCGGAAGCCCTGTTCTATAAAAATAAATTTTCTTTAGCTAAGAAGTGTTTATTTTGAGTTTTTGAGCAGCTGATTTCTTTTACCTCCCGAGTTCGCGTAAGCTGTAAGTTTCTGTTTCAGAGTTTCGAAATGCTTGATGGGTCTTTTTGGTCCCCTGTCATTACTTTTTTTTTTATCGGTAACGATTGCTTCATCTATGCTTGTTAAAAGTTGTTAAGCTCTCCCAGGATCCAATAGAATGAGGCAAGTGTGCCTATTTCCGCAGGGAGCTCGGTTATTCCTCCCATTATTCTTTTTTCCCAGGCAGGGACAAGAGGTTTAATTTCTCCTTACTAACGTTTCTCTCCTTGTTTGCATCTGTGGGATTAGACGGTTTTGACTTTCCAAATGTCGGACACCGTCCATGTCTTCATCGCTCGAAATGTTTCAAGAATCGTATCCGTTGCTTAAACTATACTAGACACATGGTTATTGCGTGGGGCTTTACGAAGTTTCGGTCTAGCTTGCAGGAGAATTACCATTAGAAGCATTTATTAGTTCATTATTCACTGGTTGTGACACATTCGAAAAATTAGGTTCATATTCAACTTTTATTATTATATTAACGCATTATATTAACCGGTAGATAATTATTTAAACAATTTAGATATATACAGTCAGATATATACAATATAATACAGTCAAAAAATTTCAGTTGTGTTTTAATTGAAATTTGTGATTAAAAAGAGAGTGAAAAACAAAAAATATTTGCGTAATAAGACAAATGTTATTAGCCAATTCTCTAAATGTACAAAAAAAATTAATGTGGACAACAAGTGTACAGAAATGAACAATTTATTGAATAAAATTCGATAAAAATGTTTTAAACGTTCTAACGTATGTTTTGCTATTTTTATATCGATATAAAAGTAATACAAAACTTATAAAAGACGTTGGATAACTAATTTTGCTCTTGGATCCCTTTCTTACCAGTGTCTGGTATCATCTGGCAGTGAAAAAGAAAGGGCAAGAAAATAATTCAACAACTTCATTTGGTGTTTTTTTTTTCAAGATTTTTTTCTAAAAACAAAACAAAAACAAAAAATTTAATATCGAGGTAGTGTGGTACGAGTTATCCTGCCAAAGAGGCCAAAGCTCCTGCGCTGAATGCTCCTTTTTCGTCGATTGCGTTATATCCGTTATCGTCTGCCGTGTACGTCGTCCTGTGCATCATCCCATCGGGAGATCGCCACATAGAGACACCCTTCACTGTCCATACTCCGTTAACAAATTCTCCTTTTTCCTCTCGTTTCGTCCCATCGTCAGATTCGAATCTGGAATGGCAAATTGGGCAATTAAAAAAAAATACAAGGTCATTGTAATCAAACAAGACATGAGATGATGATTGTTAATAAAAATACCCAATTCATCATTAGTGATTTTCAGTATATTTTCGTTTTGTACAATAGTTTTTGTAAGTAGTTTTGTGAGGTATTACGACTAAATTACGATCCGATTGTGAAAAACAAAGTTGCCTCACGGTTCACTAGTGTGTGTAATCCTTGGTTAGTAACAGTGCATCTTATTTCTCATGGATGATCCGTTGGTCAATTCGGTTTTGCAATCCTGGCCTACGGATGGTGCAAAAATAAATCAATCTAATTGGATGGGATTGGGAATAAAAAATCCTTTTAAAAAACTTAGGTAGATCTCAAGATTCAAGGCAAACGGGATTAACCTCTCGCGAAAATAGTTCTTTCCCAAGAATGCCGAACGGTTTGGTTTCGAAAAAAGTCACGAATAAAATGTTGCCGGGTGAGAGAGAGCTATAAAAAAAGATTTGGAAATAAAAGAAAGAGAGAGAAGAGAGAGAGAGATAAAGAGAGTGAGGGAGAGAAAGAGAGAGGGAGGGAGGGAGAGATATATATGTAGACAGAAAGAGAGAGAACATGATGATGATGATGATGATAATGTGTTTTATTTTATCAAGTAAGGTAAATTGCGTTTGTCTGTCTTTCTTATATCTGTTGCGCATTTATCCATTTATCTCTATCTCTTTCTCTAATTTTATTGCATTCTCTCCCCTTCTATCTCACCACTTTTCTATATTGCATATTCCTTCTATTTTTTTTACTGCCAATATGTTTATTTAAGGAAGAAAAATTTTAAGACAGTAGATTGATAGATAGATAGATAAGTAGATTGATAGATAGATAGAGGTAGAGATAGATAGATTGATAGATGGATGGATAGATAGATAGATTGATAGATAGATTGAGAGAGAGAGAGAGAGAGAGAGAGAGAGAGAGAGAGTGTGAGAGAGAGTGATTTTGTGGCCTTCTTCAAGCGTTGTTTCGTTGTCTTCCGGAAGAGATATAGCTGATAATGGCAATAACCATAAGAAATTGTAATTTTGAAACCAATTTTTAGCCCTTTGACCAATAAATTATTATATAAGTTAGTTTTATATCTGGTTTACATGGTATAGTAATTATTTCAGATTTTTAAAAATTCTTTCGCGCTATAAAAAAGCAAAAACGAAAACAACTGGAAACCAGGTTTTTTGGTGATTCTGTGGAAGATCACATGTCCCCTAACTTTTGATAAGATTAAAAAAATTCTCGAGATATTTTATTTAAATCAATGTGCTTATAGTGTTTTTTATTGTAGAGCTTATACATAAAATGTCCGAACATTTTAAATTTTAAAACGGTCGACCGTGTACTAAATATAAACCTGAGCACCTTGAGCTTCTTCTTATATCTTAGGTTTTTTTACATTTTGAACAGTTACAAAATCACCGGTTTCACTACTTTGTAAATACACTTAATACATTTTTAAAAGCGGGCAATGAATTTTTTGGTGGCAAAATTTAAACACTGTACGAATCACTTTTGAATTATTTATTAAACAAACCTGTTTTTTTAAAAATTTTTTTTGGTTAAATTTACAGTGTAATTTAAGACCAAGGGCACAGGTGTTACGTGCATCCTACAGGATTCTTCTTACGGTCAAATTGGTGGTTAGCGTTTTAAAAGACCTTGGTACACGAGGAAGCTATTTTTTTTATAAAGTTGATGGTCAGCTACTTACGAAAAATCGTAGCCATCGGCGCCTCTATTATCGCTTCGGAAGTTCAAAATTTTGGATGCTGCACTTCCCAGTGTGTTGAATAACTGTCCGAATTGTGGAGCTGAATGAGCTTCACTCAAGATAATTGCTACGCAGACCAACGCCTGGAAAAAAAAATGGTCAAAATTAAGCTAAAAACCAAATCCTTTACATTATACAATGTTCCTCAATTTATATTTTTAAAACAGTCAAAAATTGTCGATTAAGACAAGTGCTATAAAAAATTTTCATAGACTAAAATGAGAATCGGACTTTTTGAATACGTGTTGATTCAATTATATAGCCGTTAAATTATTAGCATAAATGATAATTGTTATTAATATCAGGATCGTAAAATGGCACTAGCTCACACAAATTGATTTTATAAGCTATTGTAGTTTTGTTATCCACGAGGAATATTCAACATTTGGGCTTTAATGAATGGATTACGTTTTGTTAGATTGTTTTTATTGGCTTGAATGAAGAGAACGAATGAGAAAGTTTTTATTTGTACCAACATACTGGAGTCAATGTTGAAAAAAAAAAATAAGAAACTCAAGAAATTTCTAGTACTCTAGATAGATTGAATCTAGTAAAGTGAATGGGGAATTATTCCCAATTATAGAAGAAAATGGAGTAATCTAAGGCAGTAATGCTTACCTGACTAACATTTTTAATGTACATGTCGTGAGAAGAAATGAATGGCACGAAATATTTAAGAAGAAAAATATGCAGGAGAATAATTTGTGTTAAACGATTTGTTAATCAGAAATAAGAGATTTAATCGTAGTAATTTTTATTGTAATTGTATCTTTGTTTTATTCAGAATTTTCCGTAAATCCACATTCAATAATTGTTTGATTTTTTTTAATATAGCTATTTTTATATAACTAATTGTGTAATTAATAATTAATTGTGTAAAAATTATTTTAATAATTGTACGGAACGATTGGAAGGACGATATGTAAAAAGTTCAAGCGGGAGGCCTGGGTGGCAACGGTTTAGGCGTTGATACGACGCTCAACACTGTAACGTAAAGGTCCCGTGTTCGAATCCAGCGGCCCTGCATTTACAAATGGGCTTTTTTTCAAAAACACCGGCAACCCGAGGGTTGATGTAACCTCTGCTGTTGCGAACCCTTTTAAAAAAGAGAAAGAAAGAAAAGTTCAAGAAACACATTTCCGGTCTTCATTGGACTCTCGAGAATCCCTTTTATAGGAAAGCTAGAAATGCAAAATGGTGTACCTCCTTCTGGAAAAAAAGTCTTACGTAGGGATCTCTGGGGTGGTGTGAAAAAGATGGAAGCTACCAAAAGGGTAGTCTCTTGTCAGTGAGTGGTTGATACGAGTAGGGAGTAGTCAGTGATTACGTGTCACTAGTCAGTTGGTCTCGAGTCAATTACAGTTTAGAGTTTAGAGTTAGTCACTATTAGTGATGAGTAAGAAGTTGGATATTAAAGGGGACAGTTGGTTCAAAAATGGAGAAAACTAGGTCAGAACTTTGTTATTTTTTATGGAGTGAGCGACCTTTGGAGGTGGGGTGTCTGGCATCTTCCTTCTTGGATTTTAAGCAGTTAATAAACGTTTTGCAATGTGAAGACGTAGATTACTTTCTTATTGCCACTATGACCGATTAGGAAGAAAAGCAAGTGCTGAAGAAAGATCGACTCTCCGAGATATCTGTCTGTCTTATGGTCTCTCACTCTCATCCGTCCCTCAATCTACGTGAATTATAATTCACTCATTTCGTGGTCCGCTTGACCAATTAATTATTACAATTAATTAAGGTTTTTAGTTGAGATAAAAAATTGAAAAAATGGCAAAAAGGAGGGACAACTCAAAAGGTGGGGTTGAGATAGGAAGTTGATGTCCGAGTGGATCGAGGTCATGATAGCTCAAGTGGTAGAGCAGCGGCGTATCTAGCCGAAGATCCTGGGTTCGAATCCCGCTCGTGACATTGACTTTTTTATCTCAACTAAAAACCTTAATTAATTGTACTTCGACATAATATTTTTATGTCATCAACTCAATTCTGTTTATTATATGTATATTGCGAGTAAAACAGGGATTTTTGAAATAAAGGAAGTGGGCCGCGGTGGTGGAGTGGTTACGGCGCCCGACTGGTATTTGCCAGGCTAGTGGTTGTGGGTTCGAATCCTGGCCGATCCTATGGTTTCTTAATGGATTATAAAAATGTATTGTATAGTGGTTTTGACCCCTTCTCTGCGACACCCAACGGGTAGTTCTACGTTAAGCCCTCCTATGTGACAGGAATTACTTTACTTTATACTTTAAAGGAAATGGTTTCTGGTGTATCACAGGGGTCAATACTTGCTCCGCTGTTATACCCAATTTTTATTCCTGACTTGCTCACGGATGAGAATATATTTACCGCCGTATTAAGAAGTAACCTCTCATCTGCACAACTTTCATTATTGAAACTTGAAATTCAAACAATTGAAAAATGGAACAATCTTAGGATAATCAAGTTGATCTCGTTAAAGTCATAACACATCACTTTTACGTTCCACCGTACCTGTCCCTCAATCAGACAGATTTACCCATTTAGAACTTAGGAATGCACATAGGTACAGCACAATGGACGAAAGTTTAATTGCTAGAAAAAAAAATCTTTACGACTGCATAAAAAAAGATTTTACTTACTGAACCGACTATTAAAGAAACAATTAAAATAAAAACTTTCGACATATACATGCTTACTCAAGCCTAAAAGGATCTGCGTAGGGTAAGATTGACCAAATATTGAAATATTTTACGAGAAATTCTTTCTGTCGCTTAACTTGTAAGAATCAATGCACTTCACGATTCAACGGTTTTTTCCTGCAGCAAAACAAATTTTCACAGTAAGTTACGGGATCACACTAGCACATAAGTAGAATTATTATTTCTCTTTGCACAATAACAAACACGTGGACGACTTAAACGAATGTGTATATAAATGATAATAATTCTTTCTTTATTACCAACCAAACCTGAAATGCGATTAAAAAAAACCTTGATTTCGCCAGCTCAGACCATTATCCACAGGTCCAGACCGTTTCTTTCCTGAACCAGTTTCTCTTTTTATGTGTTTATTTATGATTTTTTTGTCTGTTCGCCTGTATATGTGCCAACGCAAGGGAGTTCTGTTTTTGCTGGTTTTACCGTGTGAGTTGTATTTCTTATTTCATTATTCGTTAGTATGTTATGTAGTACATTGTTGCGTAGTATGTTCATATTCATATTTATTTTATGTGTATGCGCGTATTGTTTCCTATATATTTATTTCCTGCATGCTCCAAGTTACATATTACATACTCTTAAAGCACAAATTAAGATTTTAAAACAAAATTTTTAATACACATCATTTCTCAAAACTCAACTAAACAAAATAGACTCTTGTCAAATATTAAAAAATTTACAATTGTTCAAAATAAACGGAAATAACATAGATTTTGCACACAGATTACTATTACTTACTATCGATCTTTTGGCTGGAGACTAGGGGACGCTTCTCTCTGTCTCTTTCATTCAGTGTGTGTGTGTGTGTGGACAGAAAGAGAGAGAGAGAGAGAGAGAGAGAGAGAGAGAGAGTCCACATTGACCACCATTGTATACAAGAAAGTATACAGAGAATGACAGAGATCGACAGATTTAGGTCATATTTAACTTTCTTACAATCGAAGAGTTAAAGATAATTAACTTACAGATAGAGTATTGAAGGAGAGAGATTCGGAGAAGGTGATAGATAAATAGAGAGATCGAGAGTGAGAGAGAGAAAAGCCAGAGAAATAAAAGAAGTACAGAACGAGATTTATTGATGGATAGACAGATGGAGATAGATAGATAGAGATAGAGATAGATAGATAGATAGATGGAGAGAGAAAGAGAGAGAGAGAGAGGAAGATGAAGAGAGAGAAAGAGAGAGAGAGAGAGAGAGAGAGAGAGAGAGAGAGAGAGAGAGAGCGTGATGATGATGATAATGACGTGTTTTATTTTGTCAAGTAGGAAAATGCGTTTGTCTGTCTTGTACAGTGCATCTTATTTCTCACGGATGATCTGTTGGTCAATTCGGTTTTGCAATCCTGGCCTACGGATGGTGCAAAAATAAATCAATCGAATTGGATGGGATTGTGAATAAAAAATCGTTTTAAAAAACTTAGGTAGATCTCAAGATTCAAGGCAAACGGGATTAACCTCTCGCGAAAATAGTTTTTTTCCCAAGAATGCTGAACGGTTTGGTTTCGAAAAAAGTCACGAATAAAATGTGGTCAGATGAGAGAGAGCTATAAAAAAGATTTGGAAATAAAAGAAAGAGAGAGAGCGAGGGGGGAGAGAGAAGAGAAGTGAGAGAAAGAGAGAGACAGAGAAAGAGAGTGAGGGAGAGAGAGAGGGAGGGAGAGATATATGTGTAGACAGAAAGAGAGAGAACATCATGATGATGATGATGATAATGACGTGTTTTATTTTATCAAATAAGGTAAATTGCGTTTGTCTGCCTTTCTTATATCTATTGCGCATTTATCCATTTATCTCCTCTCTTTCTGAAAGTTATTGCACTCTCTCCCCTTCTATCTTATCACTTTTCTTTATTGTATATTCCTTCTATTTTTGTTTACTGCCAATCTGTTTATTTAAGGAAGAAAAATTTTAAGTCAGTAGATTGACAGATAGATACGTAGATCGATAGATAAGTAGATATATAGATAGAGATAGATAGATAGATAGATAGATAGATAGATAGATAGATAGAGATAGATAGATAGATAGATAGATAGATAGATAGATAGTAGAGAGAGAGAAGANAGAGAGAGAGAGAGAGAGAGAGAGAGAGAGAGAGAGAGAAAGAGAGAGAGAGAGAGACTGAGAAATATTAAATGCTTAGTTTGTAACCCGATTATTGAATTTAGTTCTTATAAAAAAATCATGCTAATAAAACCTTTCGTGATTCCATTGTTAACTTATGCCATGAGTAAATCTGTCATTATTCTATAAAAAAGTAATTAATTTTATAGTAATTATTTTTCACATACAATTAGAATGTGACTTTATCGATCAATCAAGCTACAAAACTACAACCATTAAGCTTTTCCATTTAACACATGAGAGGTTTCTGGAGGTGTGCATCGTAGTGAATCTGCTCTTTGAAATTATCCTAATTTTGCTGGTTAGGACACAAGATTGTGTTTCGGCCAAAAACTAGGTAGGAAAGGCAAACTTTGTTGACGGGAAATATCTCACAATATTTAATTTATGTTAACGTTATTACACATAAATATTTATTGAATTCATATTCTATCTAAGTATTATGCTGTGAACTTTGTCATACATGATGTAAGAGTATGTTGAAATCACAGGTTAAAAGTTTTTAATGATAGATTCATCAGGATGGATTGTTTAAAATGAATATGTTTTTTAATAAGAATAGAACATTGAGTTTTGCAATAGTTTGTTGTTGTGTATGTTTTATTTATTATCCAGTCTCAAGAAGAGTAGTTACTTTTTTTATCAATTGCAAGAATATGTCTTTTGTGAATGGATAATTGCAGTGTTGCGAAAAGCTCGTGTAGTCGACCTAAAAAACGAGAAAACTCACGAGTGAGAAACTGAATCTAATTAGAAGACGACGAGAGATGTGGGAAACGGTGGCTAACTTCTTCCGTACGTACCGAAGGCAAACGAGTGTTGTTTCGCGATGTTTCGCCTTGAAGAACATGGAAAACAGCCGGTTGATTTGTATTTCGAATGCTGGAAAAAAAGTTCGTTAAACCCCGAACGATTGTCATTTCCTACACGCCGATGTAAAATCGTCGTTGGTACATGGGAACCGTTGGTCGCAACTGCAAGAATATTGATGAACGCGGGTTTTTAATCCTTACATATTTTTTCGAAAAAGAAATTCAATTTGAACGATCCTGATAAAAATGTGACGAAATGTCTGCAAATGATATGCCATTTTACAAGATTCTGCCTTAAAGATTCAAAAATTTTTTTATGATATTCTATCAATACTAGTCTGTACCCACTAAAAACAAGTGGTGATACAACAAAATCATAATTTTATAACTTGGTACATTAATACATCACACTGTTGTTTTATAAACTTATATTTACTCGATTTATATTTTCTTTGATAATGTATTTTGCAAAGGCACTATTAAACATTAATAAGTTAACCATTAATTAATAATTAAGTTAAAATCAATACAATTTATAAATAAATTTTGACAAAGAATTATACTAGATGAAGGATATTACTGAGTAAGATTTTGAAGATAAAGAAACGTTTAATTTATGAGTATGTGTGTATTAATATAAAACAAAAAACGTGTAATGATAATGATAACAGAACAAATATACGAAGTCGGACTTTTGTTTATTTAATCGTGTTTCGTGTTGTTCTACTTACGAGGAGCTTCATTCTTCCGATGTCCTTTCAAGCACTGAATGAAGCCATCGGTGGTGGGTGCAGGTTATATACAAGCGCTCCCACCTAACCTCTTCCCTTCACCGAAGGGTGTATCGTATCGGCGGAAGAGTTATTGATAATTATCAATGATGATCGAAATTGATTATTTTTCTCGTGGAAGGGTCCAGAGATGTTTTCATGTTCTAATCGGACATGTATATTGTAAAATAATTTGCCCGTTTGACCTTTGATAAGAATCTGAGCAGGTACAGGTTTCATTTGGTTCACGTTGTCCCACAAGTAAATGAAATGTTCATTTTCCGTTACATTTCTTGGTCCGATTGACTAAATAACTTCTTTAAATTAATTAATCTTTATGTAAGGTACTGGTTGAAATGAGGAAATTAGTGTCACGAGCGGGATTCGAACACACCACCTTTGGCTAAATTCGCCGCTGCTCACCACGTGAGTTATCGTGACTTCAATCCACTCGGACATCAACATCCCACTTAAAAATTGGCAAAAAGGACAGAAAATTCGAAAAGCAGGTTGAAGTGGGAAGTGATGGTTTGGTTGTGTTTGTGTGGCATTTGTGAAATTAAAGTAGTTTTTGATGTGGGTAGGAAATGCCTTGTTTTGCCTGCATTTTAACAAAACGTTTCTCTGATTGGTTGCAGATGCTAGTTTCTTTTCATTGATATCCTTCAGATTCCTCTTTGCTTGTTGTCATGTGTAATTGATACCATTTGATAGAGTGCCATGTTGATCTTCGTTCTTCTCGTTAGAAATGTGTAGAATTTAGTGACCGGTTTAGACCGCATCTCACGATCTCACAAATAATCATTAATTAACGGTCACTAAATACTACACACATACTCATTTTAATGTAAACCAAATTACACGAGATCAGAAATTCATGAGTTTTAATAAAAATTGTTTAATGATGATGGTTTGAAAGAAAATTCATAAAAACACCGGTAAAGAGTTTATCAATAAATTAAAATTTTTTACATAGCTGTGCCTAATTACGCTTATTACCTCTTCTGGCCTTGTGAAGGGTCTTAAGTCTCCCAGGAATCGAGTAAATAAGCGATCGGATCCCTAACAATCCCTATATCCTCAAAGTAATGGGTGACAACTCAAGCAACATGCGGTTAAACATTATCATATATTAGCACTAACGTGTCCCTAACAAATGGATCAAATGGGACCACAACTTCTAGAAGAACTTCCTCAATGTATCTTAGAGCAGTCAAAGATCCATTCTGTGCGGTAATCAGTTCGGTACGCGATGGACGTTGATTCCACCCCATACCTAAATGACTGTCTTTGAAAAGGCTGTGGCTCACGCATGGCACCTGAAACAAAGCAATCTCCACGTCTTCTCCATACACGGTCCTGGTATTCGTCTAGTATGATCTTACGGTATTCGCCAGGTCACCTCTATCGAGATGCGTATCTAGAACTCAGATCTGGTTCGCCGGTTTAGTTAGCGTGCGCCATAAATTGCGAGGGTGCGTCCATTTCAAGGTCGCTCCTCCTACCGATTGTAGCGATTACACGGCATTCTACTAGGCCAGCAACTATTTTACCAAAAAGCTATTTTATATACAGAAAAGTTGCCGGCGTATCCTTGATAACATTATGTAATAAGGCTGCTATTAATGTTTCATGATCCAAATACATTTCTGCTAAAATGAACGCCACTGCTACTGGATGTGTAATTCTGTGGTAAGGTTCACCACGCTCTCGTGATTCGAGACGAGTCTGCCAAGTCTCTACCTAATCTCGCCTGTCACTCCCTGAGCTCGGTTTCGGCTATTTGTGGCAGATTCTCGATGAACCCTCTTCGTTGTCTTATTAGGGAGATATGCTGAGTTTGAGTGCCTGGGAAAAACGGTGGTACTTTCCTGGGTTGACTCGGACACATTGGAGTGGAGGGCACCAAACGTGCAGATCAGGCGCTGAATACTGTTTTGCTTTCTATACAGAACCACCGAAGACCGGCCCAGTATCGTTCTAAGAACGGTAAATAACGAAATAAAGGAACGTAGCCGGATCGTCCAGCACTTCTTGTTAAGAGTTAATAGAACGACTGAGCGATGGCCCACTGAATGACTGAAACACAAGGAAGGGCTCGTGTTCATCGATTTGAGAAAAGACAATACCCAATTGAAAAAAGGGCAACTGATTTAGTGGCAAAACCCGCGCAGGTTTGTCCCGCTTGTAAAGAAAGATTGCTCAGTGTCTCATACTTGGTCGAGAAGTGCCACGCCTCGGCCCCTTACAGGGAGCGAGTAGGTATGGCATCTGACTTCCGAAAAAAAGGATATTATAGATAGGATTCATGTGCCCGGGTTGAGAGAAGCTTTTTTTATTTATTATTATTTTTTGTGAGGTTTCGCAACGGCAGAGGTCATATCAGCCCTCGGGAAATTGGTGTTTTTGAAAAACAGCTCATTTGTATGTATGTGCAGCCTTGTAATCGAACCCGGGATCTTTACCTTACAGTGATGAACGCCATATCAATGCCTCAGTTGCGGCCACCGACAGCCACCAATGCTCCTACTGGATAGAAGCTTATTCTTGGATAGGTTCATTCTAAACACATACCTCAGCTGACGTTTTAAGACATTTTTATGATTTGGTTTTATTTTGCTAAAGATATGAATAATAGATATAATTAAATTCATTATATTTTGTAGTCTATTGACCAAATTACTTCTTTCAATTAATTAATCTTTTTATGTAAAGTTTTGGTTGAAATTAAAAAGTTAGTGTCACGAGCGGGATTCGAACCCACGACCTTCGGCTAAATAGTTATAATATTGTGGTCATTTTTATTACTGAATAGATTTACTTTATCAGTCATGCTTATTTCTTGGTCAATAGCTACATTATTATAGACTAGATTATTTGTGGATAGGTTTACTCTAGATATCTTTCAGAAATGTTTTTTCCTTTTACATAGTATTTATTTAAACACCACAAGTATAATCGTTGATGTATACAAATGTAAAAAATAAATTAAATTAAAATCAGGTAATTTAGGAAGAATAAAATAAAACAAAATAAAATAAACAACTAACACTAGAATGCGATCATCCAATGATGATCCTTCCAGTCTAAGTCTCATTGTTCAACAGATCGGGAGGCACATTTGTTTTCTGCCATTTTAGTATGTAAGTAGTAGACTACTATTTGATCGTTCGGTTTTTTTAATATGCTGAAAATGACGAAGTATATAAACATACAAAAGTAAAGTAAAAAAAAACCTCTCAGGTCGGCTTAACGTCCAAATACGCGTTGGGTGCCGAGGACGAGGAGTGAAACCACTTCACAACACTTCTTTCATGCTATTCACAATTAAAAAATCTTGGGCTGTGCCGGTATACGAACTTTTTTACAATTTCAAGTTATTTACATCGATGGGCACATCGTGCTAAACGGCCTAGTTAGAGTTCATCTATTCGATTCCTTAGAGGTTCCACACAATGGTTTTGTCATGGGGTCTTCTGCTACAGTTTTTATCTGAGGTGCCCGAATGGAGTAAACGAATTTGGTCGAAAGCATATGCACCATGGTACTTTTACCCTCCCTCATACAATATGCCTCAATATTTCTCCTATCTCTAAAACTGACTGTACGCTACCTCGAGTTCTTTCTTTATTCACGACTAACCTGGAACCGACTCACATAAACGCTTCGGACTACTATACAAATTATTATCAAAAAAATCACGCGTTTCGACAAAAACCGACTAACAATCTACAAGGCAGTACTGAAACCGGATGTACCATTGAGCCCCCGCGACTCTCAAAGACCTGGATGAACCTCATACACCACAGGCATATTGCCATATAGAAGGGAGCAACATTACGTACTTCAAACTCCTAGTAGAAAGCGGTAGCGTTGATCTATCTTCAAGTAGAAATTTATTATTTTTATTAGTAATCAGCTCGCCAGTTTTCGGATGTGTCCAAGTTAGTTTCGAATCCAAGATCAATGCCATATGTCGGACATGATCGCTTGTGGAGATTATTCCAGCAGTTTATGTCGTTGAAAAAGATTTTATCGGGATATTTCTTCTCTACGGAAATGCTACCACGGTGGATTTATTGATGTACATGACTACCCACCATGCTCTATACCACGCATCTACCTGTTTTAGAAAATTTTACCTATTGGATTCTGCTTTTCATACATGGATACATGCTAAGGGCAGCTATATATTCAGCGCTTGAGCTGTGACTATTTGTTGTGTTAGGAAGTCATGCGGGTGTAAGAGATAATATAAACGCCCCAGGACACAGCCCTGTGGAAGTCCAGCTGTGAATGGTTTAGAATGTGATGTTGCTTGAGAATATTTCACAGTAAAGGTGCGTGTAGACAGGCAAGATTGTAATATCCTATAATAAGAATTTGGTAATTTTTTAATATTCACAAAAAAAAAAGAAAATTGTCGAAGGACTCTAAATAACGACTGGCCGTCGAGTAGCGCTATAGTTAAAATACTAACTATGGCTACTCGATGGTCAGTCGCTATTTCCCGTCCTTCGACAATATTCTAATGTTTCTACCCGTTGGATTTTCTCTTTTGAAAAAAGTCTTCTACTCCAATTTGTTCATTTTAACATTTATGAAATATATGTTTCTTAAGCCCATGTGCAGATGATGAGGTGTAGTCATAAGGAGCAAGGTCAGGACATCAGGGTAATTTTGGTTTAAACAAATTTAAATTTAAAATCTTGTTAGTAAACAACTATCATTCTATTCTCTCTAATATCTTATTGATCGGTTGCCCGGTAGGAAAAGATTTCAGAAACAACAGCACAGTAGAAAAATTTCAAAGAAACTTAATAGCATTTTTTTTCTGTTTAATTGACTTGGCCTTGCGACCGTTGAAAATCCTTATGTGTAAAGATTGATCCAGTTAATCCACTTTGTATCGCATGAAAAAATAATGATGTTCATTGGGGTTAGAAGGAAGCTTCAGGCGGTGTCCAGCTCGATGACCTCTGTGAGCTCACGTATGACTTTTC